GCCAGATGGGCCCTTCATGAAGAGTAAAGCCTTTTGGATCACACGTTTATACTTAGCAGCATGTACCCACCATGACAGAGAGAATGAACAACCGAGACAAAACGACTCTGTCCATTGCCATTTTCCAGCCTTGCCATTGGCCCCACATGAATGAAGTAGCTACAGGAGCAGAAATGGAGATAAGTACCACACAATGTGGGCCTCACTTACTAAAATGACTCTATTATAGTGACTGCTATTTCTACTTACCTAGCTCAATCCAGACACTGCTGAACCAGAGCATCCAATCTAACTCGAAAGAAATGCCTGAATCTCATCTTTACAGGTAGGTTTGTTTTTCCTGCCCACAGAACGCCAGGCAGCACCACCTTGCACAGGCATGGAATCCCTCGCGACAAGAATGTAAGCAGAGGGCCTACCACATAGCAAGGGGGTGGGCTGTGCGAGCAGGTCAAGGGCAAGGGGCCCAGGGGTTGCGGACATCCCAGAAGGAGCAGAATGCTCTTACGCCTTCTAAAGGCACACCTGAAGGGAAATGGTGCCGTCCTCTGGGTACACTTTACGCTCAAACCGGACTTTTATATGACGCTAAGACTCCTGGAAGAACACATGGGCCAAGGCCATCGGGGTTGGGGGGCGGTTGTGCGCTGAAAAGCAGGTCTGTGCCCACTTACCACGGCTCCACGAGTTTCCACCACAGTGGAGAATGCTGTGCTTCGATCCACGCAACTCCGCACTGCGTGGTGGGCGCTGAAGCTCCAGAGCTTGCCAGGAACACCCAGCTTCTGGAAGCGCAGGGCGCAGAGGCTCTCCCCGGAGCCTCTAGACGCCGTGTGTCCAGGGGCCAGAAAGCCAGCGTCAAGCCTCTGCCTCCTGTCCCTTCTAGCTGGAGGCTGTAGCGCAGCTCCAGGATGAGGAGGAGACCTTTGCGTCTGGTCGTTTCCAGACCAGCAGTTCCGCCACTGGCCGTAAGGCGATTCTGTCGTAAAAGAAAAAAGGAACGACAAAGAGGACGGTTCAAAAGGACAAAATTAATAACACATTTTTTTAAAAAGCCACAGTAGTTAAATGTATTGGGGAAAAAAGTGTGTCGATTCTTGCACTACTGTGTAAAGGGTTGCTTTTCTTTTGTGTATTGTACCTAAGTGCTTTCTTCCAAGTTTTTTGTTCACGCCCCCCCCTTTGGCTTTTTTTTTTTTTTTTTTCCGTTTTGTAACTTTAAGGGAGCTAGCTGCGAGCCTAAAACCAGGTCACACACTGCTGTACTAAAAAATACCACCTGCTTGCAAAGACCTTCTATTTACTTTGAATGGAAAAATCAAACTAAATTGTCAGTAGTTTTCTTTTACGACAATTGCCTTTTGGCCAATTAGTTAGGTGGAGATGTAATGAGAACGTTCACTTGGAAAACACTTGGCGGTGAAACATTTCCCTGCAAGCTCACCTAGAATCAGGAACTATGCTGTGGGGTCTAGGTGTCTAGTGGGGTGCCTCCTAGTATCCCTTCCCTCCTGATTCCTTGCTGTGTCCGGAGCAGCCACTGAGCTATAAATAGGATTGGTCCACCTCTCCGTTTCTTCTCCAGCTAGGGTTGTGTGCTCTCGGTTCCTGGCCTTTTCTTCTCACAAGACTCTCAGGATCGAGCAATTCCTGGTCAAATAATAAAGGCAGAATTGTCCCATCCTCCCAGTGTATTCCAAGGAAAACTGGCGATAAAATGAGGCAACAATGGAGAACCACGCTGAGTGCTAGTGTCCAAGAAGAATGGCACAGGAGATAGAGATATGTTTTATAAAGATCACTGGCATCTTACCATGACACACTGAAAATATCATTTTTGGATAAGTGCAGATTTTTTTTTCTCTCATATGCTCTATACCTAGTCAGTTGGTTCAATAATATGTAAGATCTTTGAAACTGCTGCTATATTCTTGTTTATGAATCATTGAATCTCCCCTGCTATCAGACCTCACAACACAACACTGTTCACTAAAACTGCAATGATGAAAAAAGCATTATAAGTAGGTTTTGGTATGATCAACAAGGGCCTGGATTCTCAGGAATGAAGGTTTAGGCCACATCTCCAGGAAAGCCACCAAGGCCTGAGGGTGAGGGGAATTTAGAATGAAGAGCAAATTAGGAATAACCTTCCTCTTCTAAATTTTCTGCCTGAAAACAAGTCCACTGAAACCACAGAGAAGTTGGCCTTGTACCTGTTTAAAGGCAAGAAGTGGATTACAGTGACTATGGAAAATGCACAGTTCAGGGGATTATGCTAAGTGAAATAAATCCAAGGGAGAAAGACAAACACCAAGTGATTTCACTTGTGTGTGGAATATAAAACACAAAAACAAAGAAACACAAGAGTAAAACAAAGAAAACCTTCAAATCTCACTGCTGAATTGAAGTCACTGGAGGGAAGAGTGAGGAACAAGCAGGAGAGGGGGTTCAATGGGTGCTTTGGTGGTGGGTGTGGGGTGGTAACATATAACTGAGGTGTGAACCTATACCCTTGAATCATAGTGTTGCAAACCAATGCTACCTTAGCCAAAAAAATTATACAATTTTTGAAAAATGCACAGCTCAGATCTGCTGCTGGGCCCAAGCAGCTCCCAGCCACTGACCACAGTAGGGAGGAGAGGGTGAGGGTGGAGGTTGCTAACGCAGGCTTATTCCTGAGAACTGTGAAACTCTTTTACTGAAAGGTTTGATCAGGAAGTCTGCATCAGCCTGGGCAACACTTTCCTAGAATGGTATTTCATCTGAATACTTCTACCCAATCTTCTCATTCTGGACTCTCCTTCCAGGACTTTGGTCTCTCCTTAATTCCTTCACTGACTGAAGATGCTGGCTGCCCCCTGCCCCTCTTCCTTTATCCTTGACAGTTGCATCCCCCAGTAAATTTCTTGCACAGAAACCTTGCTCCACATTAATAGAAAACTTGGTATTTTCACTATTCTTTTACTTTTTTCTTTAAATGGTGTGTATGTGAGATATTTGGGTGAAAGAATAATTATATACTCAGCACTAGATGACAGGAAAAAATATCAAAATTCTAGTTCTTCAGTATTCTCAATATTAAATGTATATATGCATATATATACTATATATGCACACTATATTCATTTAAAATATGGGGTAAAATATTACAAAATAAGCTGAGCAAGGAGTAAGGTGGAGTATGTCAAGAGCAACCAGATTGAGTCAAAAATTGTAAAGAATCAGTAATAAATGAGGAATTTATTATATCAAATGAAGATACTCAATATATCAAATATATTTCTATGGGTAAATCTCAAAAAAAATCATTAGTGAAAAGCCAAATACCAAAACCTAAATTCTGCATGGCTCCATGTGTATAAAATTCTAGAAAAGGCAAATAGAAACCTCTTCAGTGATTATCTGAAGCAAAAGGCATTGGTTATAAAGAAATTCTAGTGGTGATACAAACTTCCTATATTTTGACTGATAGTGATTATAATATTAGTACATGTATACCCTTATCAAAACTAACTTTATAGTACTCTTAAAATGGGTTTTTTAAAAATAATATATGTATTTTAATGGAATACCAGTATTTTACATCCTTATTTCTTCACAGCACAGGAATTCTCCCCACCAGTGTGATTACCACAGTTCTTCTACCATCAAAGCACAAATATGACTTTTATTGTATAGAGTTAATCCTTTAAGGGCCCGGCCTGGTGGCACAACTGGTTAAAGGACAGCACTATGAAGCTCTCCACAGCGACTGCAGCACGAATTCAATCTCCAGCCAGGGAGCTGACCCACATGGCATGGGCAGACCTCTCCTGACCCACCCACTGCTCCGCTCAGTGGGGTATTTCAGTAGATTTGCCTATTCTGCTCCCCACTCTGTCTCTGGTTAAGTCCTCTCATACCTCTGGTCTGTACCCCAGTTCTTGTATGCATAAATAAATAAATCTTTTTAAAAAAATTAGTCCCTTAAAATTGATTTTAAAATGAGTAATAGATGATTTCGACCTAGGCAGAAACTTGAGTCAAAACCCCTGCTTCATCTTTTTCACTCCTGGACTTGTCATATCCTCTGACTGAGTTTCCCTTATAGGAATGAAGCTCTTCTCTGACCTGTTCTCATTCTACAGTCCACAGTGACTTTTCTTAAAGGAAATGTGTCTATGTCACACCTAATAGTCCCCACTCTTTATATATTATCAGTAATAGTTCGTTTATAGAGACAGAACCCTAAAACAGGTACATATAGATGAATAATGACATAGATATAGGTATATATACTTGTTATAAGGCCCTATGTAATCATGTGAAATGGTTAAAAAGTCTGAGGCTGGCCCTCCCTGGTGGCGTGGCGGCTTAAAGCACTGCACTGAGAATCTAAAGCACTTCCGCATGAGTTCGATTCTCGCCTGCCTCGGAGGTGACCACATGGCGTGGCAGACCTCTCCTGACCCACCCGCTGCGCTCCCCTCAGCAGTGTACTTCGTCGATCTGCCTGGTCTGCTCCCCACTCTGTCTCTGGTGAAGCCTCTCACCGCCCCTGAGGCCTCTGGCCTGTACCCCAGTTCTGTATGCACAAATAAATAAATCTTAAAAAAAAAATGTCATTTAAAAAAAAAAAAAAAAGTCTGAGGCTGTTCTGTTTACCTGTTATCTTCCAGTGCAGTCTGAACCCACAAGGAAGGCCATCAGGAAAGGTATTTCAAGTTCCAAAACCAAGGTGGGGCCCACAAACACAAGAATGAACTGAGACTTGTCAGCTCTTGCCCCCAACCCCGACCTTGGTGTAAGTAGACAGAGCTGGGGCCCTTCACCATCAAGGCCGCATCTGGCCCAAGAGTCCGAGAACTTGAGGATGCAGAGGAAAGCGGAGTAGGAGCAGCTTAGCCACTGTCTACCAGCAAAGTGAGTCAGCAATGTGGCCATGAGCTACGAAATGGTTCTTGTTTTCAAATCGCCCATAAAATGGTTTCCGATTAACAAAATTTACCAGGTTCACATATTTGCATTTATAGGTATGTAAAGACAAATGCCTTCATCATTAGTAAGCTGTGTATATCCAGGGCCACAGGTAGCAACCAACAAATTTGTGAACAAACCAATGTATGCCAATGAGATAGCTTAGTATGACTGGAGTCTTACGCTAGGCCATGGAGATACAGTGTTAGTCAGGATCAACAAGGCAACATGCTTATCCCAGTAAAATGTGGGGCACGCTACTCAGTTTTGTAGAAATACACATTCCATTCATTCATTTACTCACGCTCTCCGTTTAATACAGTAAACCCCATTGCAACACAAACTTCCTTAGAATCCCCCAGAAAGCAGAGCCTATGACAAGGTAATTTACTTAGAAGTGATTCATGGAAGCACAATTAAGAATAACAGAAGGCTCACAGTGAAGGAGAAAAAAAATCAGGAAAGGTAATTCCATTGAGCTGAGTGCTAAGGTGCCATCTCACTGTAAACCCTCGAAGCAACCGTACAGCATCCTAGATATGCCTCTGGAAGCAGGCTGAGGCACTAGGACACCAGCTCTCACCACTCATTGGTTGAATATTACCTTCAGGGAACTTATCTACTCCCTACCCCAATACTTTTAGTGGGACAGGAACCCTAAAGTATAAAAGTAAGGGTACCACTGGCACTTAGAAGCAAACACAACAGAATTCTCCTCTAGTTGCAATGAAGTCAGAAGTAGGCCAGGTGATAGGGTTTGAGCTAACAAAAAATTTTGTTCTACTTCTTAAAGATCTAGCTTTCATTAGTTACTATGTACCACTGTAAATATAAAAAGAATCAGAAAGGCCAAAATCATTTCACTTCCTTCTTTTAGAGAATTTATGGCTAAGGAGTTTGGAGAACTGCCACTGATGTACTGAATCATAGGCTAGATAATATGAAGAAAAGAGAAGTAGGTAGATAAGGTGTAAATAGATCATTGCAGCTTGATTACCATATCCAAAGACTACTGGTCAGTTGCGCAAACTTCACTGTATTTCTTCACTGTACGTAACATGGGAATGGTGTGCCTGAGATGTACAATGGGGCGTCCCAGACTAGCACAGAGTAGTGACTTATCAAACTGTAAAAGAGATAAGAGGGGGTAAAATGTTTAACCTATGAATATTAGAAAAGAGAGATCAGTGATTCTCATGTTGGAGTTAGGTTGCCCTTTGTCTCCTCCCACATCGTCCCTGCACCCTCCAGGAAATATTTGGCAATGTCTATGGACACTTGAGGTTCACACCAAGGTAGGGGGTGCTTCGGAATATTGTGGGTCCAGAATGGGACACCAGTAAACATAGAGTTTATAGGAGCCCCTCTTTCCCTCTGTTCCCCAACAAAAAATTATGCTGCCCAAAATGTCAACAGTGCCAAGACTGAGAAACCCTGACAGAACAAAGGCATCTGGGTATTGAAATATAAGTACATGCATTCACATGAACACAGTATTTCTTCACTTAATATAGTCTGCTTATAGCATTTTAAAAATCAATGTTTAATTACAGATGATTTGCACTATATGCCAGCAATACAAAGTGTTGCATTAGTACCACCAAAACCAAAAGAATTGGTGAGTCCAATACATCTTTTCTCAGTTTTCCATTCTTGTGCCCTTAGCGGGACATAATTGAGATCAAATTCTGGCTCTGTACAATCCAGGTTTAAAGTAGGTGGTAGTTTTCGATAATAACAAGCAAGTGCTGTAAAAGCTGCTTCGGTCGCCCCTGCAGCTCCCAGCAGATGCCCGGTGGCTCCCTTGGTCGAGGAGACAGCAAGCGCATGGGCATGGTCTTTGAAAAGATGTTTGATAGCTTTGTTCTCAGCAGCATCTCCCAAAGGTGTGGAAGTAGCATGTGCATTGACATAGGTTATCTCTTCAGGGTGCACATTTGCATCTCTTACAGCAGCAGTCATACATCTAGTAAAATAAGAAAAGAAGCTTATCAGAACTAGGTTTAATTTCAACAAGTGATTCATGATCTGTGTGGCCTATGTGAAAGACTTAACCAGTAGCTGAAAAGAATACTTTGCTCTAATAACAGAATTGACTCTTGGATTGACAGGTTAAGTTCTAACACCACCTGCATGGTGTCTCCCTGCTGGCACCTTGCACTGATTCATCACCACGAAATAAACAAGTCTACAAAGTTTATAATGTCTAAATGTATATACTTCCATTTATTTCTGTTGAACTTACTGCTTGGGCAAAATACCTATGGCTCAAGCCTCGAATAATTTTTCTTGAAGGAATTTTTTTAATCTATCCCCTTTACCGTCCAAGTCTGATAATAGGCCAAAGAGATATGCATGAGTGTGCACACGTGTATATTTAAAAACTGTGTTTCTTCTTTTACGTTTAAATGTAAAAGTTGGTATACTTCCAAAAATGCCATGTGTTATTTAACAATGAGGAGATGTTGTAAAAAATGCATCATTAGCAAAAGATTTTGTAAGCTTAGGTTGCACAATAAACAAAATGTGAAATTAAAGACACAGGAAAATGATGCTGTCAAGAGGCAATGCAAACATGGGGAGAATGAATGAGGCTGCTGTCAGTATACACCAACGCCTTTACAACAGCACAATGTCACCAGGCAATTGGAATTTCGGCTCCACAGTTACATATTTGGTTCACGGTTGAGTGAAAAATCGTTATGTGGCACTGCAAGTCAGTGCTCCACATAACCTTTCAAAAGGCTGTTTGCTTGGACTATAAAATTCCAAAAGTAAAATATTTCTCTGGAAGAACCTTTGAAAATTGAAAGGATGGCAACACCTTCTCCTGATCTTTGGGCTGCACACATTTCCTTAAGAGGTAGCTGAGAGTCTAGTTTGAAGCATAAAATGTTTCACCTAAATATAACTACTTCCTTTTTTTTTTTTTAAGATTTTAATTTGTTGTTATTTATGTATACAGAACTGGGGTACAGGCCAGAGGTACAGAGGCAGTGAGAGTACTCACCAAAGGCAGAGCAGGGAACAGAACAGGCAAATCCACACTGCTGAGGGGAGCAGCGCGTGGGTGAGGCAAGGTTTGCCACGCCATGTGGGTCACCTCTCTGGCCAGGGATGGAACTGATGCTAAAGTGGCTGCCACGAGCTTTACAGTACTCTGCTTTAACCTATTATGCCACCAGGAAAGGCCTAAACATAACTATTTATTTATCTAACTAGCCATTATGCTTAAAATTTCTAGTACCAGCAACTACTCACTAAAACTTGAATGGTCAGGAAACCAGGGCTCTGGGCAGATGCCTGTCTATTATAGTCTCATCAGAACTCACCCATGCATTTTTGTATTGTCTGAGCTCGCTTCACACTAGAAATAGCTGAACAGTTGTGCCAAATGTTCCATGAACCACAAGCCAAAAAATTTACTATTTGTCCCTTTACAGAGTAGGTGTGTCAACCTGTGGCTAATTTTAACTAGTTATAATATGATCTAAACAATCTAAGCAGACTACTCCATTAGGTACGTTATCAGGAACTTTTTTTTTTTTTAATTTTACTATCTCTTCTACAATACCAGCAATTTGCTTTTTCAGTCTGAGCCTCAAACTAGCTTCAGCATCCCCCAGGAGATTTCTAGAAATGGAGAATCACAGCTATCACGTTTGTCCTATAGAATCAGAATGGCATTTTAATTAAGATACTGAGTGATTAGATGTTGAGAAGTGCTAACCAATAACAGCACAATCCTTATGAAATGGAGCAAGGACCAAACACATGCAAAGAAGTTACCTTTACTGTCCAAGTCTGATGATGGGCCAAAGAGGAGGACTGTGAGACAGAGCACCCTGACAACTGTTCAGCCCAAATGAAGGTGTGAAAAGTTAACAAAGACATACTAGCCTACTTCACTACAGTACTGCTCTTAACTAAAATCTAATTTTTATAAGGATATTCAAATGTTTTCAAATATTTCAAACATGCTAAATAAAGCAAGACAATTTAAAAACACTAATTAGTCTAAAATGGAAAAACCAGTTACTATACACTAAGGCCAAATACTACAATGTTCCCTAGTTTGAGATTCCAATAGCGTCTTTTATTTGAAGAAATATTTTGAATAAAACAACCAGTCCTTACCTTAAGGCACCTTCTCCTTCAGGGTCTGGGGCAGTTATGTGACCAGCATCACCTGAAAGTCCATACCCCAAAACTTCAGCATATATCCGGGCCCCTCTTTGAACAGCGTGTTCATGTTCTTCCAGCACCAGCACTGCGGCACCTTCTCCCATTACAAAACCATCTCTCTTTGGATGAAATGGCCGACATGCCAACTTAGGATCAGAATTTGTGCTCAGAGCCCGGGCTCTACAAAACCCAGCAAGAGAGAGAGGACTAATGCAAGAATCTGTGCCTCCAGCCACCATCACATCAGCATCCCCATGAGCTATAAGTCTGAAAGAGTCTCCCACAGCATGAGCTCCTGTGGTACAGGCTGTGGATACTGCATGATTGGGGCCCTTCAGTTTATAGCGAATGCTGACCTGGCCTGCTGCCATATTGATCAGAATTTTAGGGACAAAGAAAGGGCTGACTTTACTGTAACCTTTTGTCTGAAACATCAAAGCAGTTTCAGATACCACTTCAAGAGGTACCATTCCCATGCCAATTGCAACACCAGTAGCCACTTGATCAGTTTCTGACTGAGGATGCCAGTTGGAATCTTTCAGGGCTAACTCTGCAGCCCCAATGGCCATAATGGTGGGAGAAGACATGGACTTGATGTCTGACTTGAGCACAAAGTTTTGCTCATTGAACTGACCTTCATCAGAACCTCTTGGCACATAAGCAGCAACACTGCAAGGGATACTCTTATACTCTTCACCAACCAGTGAAACAATTCCATTCTCTCCCCGAATAAGACGATCCCATACCAGTTGAGTTCCAACACCCAAAGGAGTCACTAAGCCAATGCCTGTAATGACAACACGTCGGCGAGATCTGGATGTCGGCACAGTTCCAAAGCACCTCCTTTTACTTCTTACTAATCGTTGACATAATCTTGAATACTGAAGATGAGGGTGTGTGACTTTTAGGAAATTTGGCAAGCAGTTTGACAACATGGTTGCAATTCAGACGATCAGAAACAGATTCCAGTAACAAATCACAACAGGCCCAGGAGGTATTCACTGTTTTCTAAGTAATTTAAAGGCCAACGAAAGAATATCCAACGTGTTCTTTTAGGTGCTTGGTGTGAGCTGTTAATGAGCAGGGAAAGTAATATTACATCATTTTTATTTCTACATACCATCAAACCACTTGTTTAGACCTTTTTTTTTTTTTAAAGCTATAAGCACCCTCAAGCATTCAAAGACAAAGAAGGTAAAGTGATCATTTATTCAGGGCACTAAAGCAGAATTAGAATTACACAATTAAAAATATAAGTCGCCCTTCCACCCTATAGTAAACAAGAAACATTCTTTTTCAGGATTACTGAGGGCTTTTTGTAAATAGCATTTATCCTGTCCACTGCACTGAATACACTTCAGATTCTGTTTCAATGTGAAGGCAAGTGGAGTTTTATCTCCAGTTCAGAGATAAGATACCCAGCCAGATCTAGATGGATCCTGGACAGAGTCTGGGCTGAGAAAATACTCTAAACATAGGATAGACACTGAGGGAGAAGATGGGTTTCTCCATGTATCTAAACTTCTCCACCAAGTTATCACTAGAAAGGCTAGTTCACCTCCCTAAGGAAAGCACGGATATCAGCTGGGAGTAAAGGGGTGTGGCCACCACCACCCCCGCTCCGCCTCTCAAGCGCCCGCACAAACCCGGAAACCATGGCCAGAAATCCGGGCCAACTCCCCAGACCCCCTTCTCCTGACCCCATTCCGACCCGATCAGGCTGTGGAGGAGCGTAAGGAAGAATGTTCCAAGAACTCCCTAACCTGGACCGAGACTCACGTGGGCAGCCCAGTAGTCAGCCGCGGCAATGACTTTTGCGTGCGCACGCGCATAGGCACGCCGGCACTTGCGCATGCGCACGCACGCGTCACGTCCCAGCCTGCTGCGGCTGCTTGCCCTTCCTCCGCGTCACCTTGACTGAGGTCGGGCAGTGGGAGTGGCCGGAGTTCGTACCGTGGTGCTTAAAATGCTTCTCTCCCAAACCTCAATGACTACTAAGTAATCAAAAACATACGCATGTCCATCAAAAGGGAAGTTTGTAAAGGTAATGCCCAAATATTTCTGTCTTGTAGCACAAGGCATACTTATTGACTGGAATATGATGAGAACTAAAGATTAAGGAAATAACTGTACCTTTAAAAAGAATTAAGTGCCTGTTCCTTCGAAGTCATTGCTTCACTTCCCAACGCTTTCATAGTAAAGTAGAACTGACCAAAGTGCTCAACATTCTGGAAATGGGTTGTCTGTTACGTGGTACATCTAAAAACTGTGCAGCCATTTGAAAAATTTTATAAATGAGTATCAATGTGAAACGATACTAAGACTATGCTAGGGATAACTGCTGCCCCAGTAGCCACAATGGTCGTAGACGACATGGAGACCGCTTGGTTCATTGAACTGAACTTCATCACAGCCTGTTGGCACATAAACTGCAACACTGATCCTTGAAAATAACTATTTAGTACGTTGGTTGGGAAAAGGCATTCTGACAAAAATTTTAGACCTGGAACTCTTGTCTTCCACAAACCGCAAATAAATAAATCTGTCCAATGACCGGTAGGACACAGCAGCAATGAAGTGTAAGAGTAAAGCAAAGGCCTATCACAAAATACTTAACGACTTTGGATTTGATCTCACAGGTCCCAGGTGGTATGCTGACAGCTCTGGGCTAATTTGGACCACAGCATTCTTTTGTTAAATAGAAATTCCTTTAGAAAGGAGAGGCTCATTCCTTTGACCAAACTCACTAATCCTTTCACCAAGCCCTCTGCTACTCCTTTTTGTCTTGAAAAAGCCACTTTGCACATTTAAGGTGCTTTCCTAACTCCTGACCATATTTGCCTTAAAAGAATATCATGACTTCATGTGTACTTTGGAAAGATCCTGTTGCAGCAGTGGAAGGTGCAGGGAGGAGGAGGCTTTCAGGGGTGTGGGAAGACTGGGGCCTGGGCAAGAGAGTTCAGTAAGACTAGGCAAAAGATGATGAAGCCCAAAGTAAATCAATGGCAAAGATGCAGATGTTCAGGAAGAAACATTGCTAGGATGTTGTTCCTGATTAATTGTGGGGTGATTCTCCCATAACCAGGAAGTCCTCTGCTTCCTCACTTTCATAACCCCCAAATGAATGGTCTGTTTAAATTCTTCCATAAAACTGCTGTTCCTTCCTCTAAAATGTTCTTAAACTTTACTGTACATCACAGTAACCTGAACGGCTTATTAGTAAACAGATTGTTGGGCCTCACTTTTTTTTTTTTTTTTAAAGATTTATTTATTTGTGCATACAGAACTGGGGTACAGGCCAGAGGTGCAGGGGCAGTGAGAGACTTCACCAGAGACAGAGAGGGGAGCAGAACAGGCAGATCCACGAAGTACACTGCTGAGGGGAGCAGTGGGCGGGTCAGAAGAGGTCTGCCACACCTTGTGGATCTCCTCCCCGGCAGGCAGGGATGGAACTCATGAAAAAGTGGCTTTAGGTTCTTAGTGCTGTGCTTTAACACACTGTGCCACCAGGGAGGGCCAGGCCTCACTTTTAAAAGTGGGACTTGAAACTGTCCTTCTGACAAGTTCTCTGCTGCTGATCTAACGTCTGGTAAACTCATGAATTGCATGAATGCTAGGATCTCTGCTTATTCCCTTCCCTGCTTCACATTACTTAGCACAGTGCCTGGCATTTAGTGAGTAACTTCATTAAAAACTTGGGAATGAATTAATGAGTATATGTCCTTACAGTAATTCATGTACTGATACATGCACTGTTTTGTATGTTTTTTGCAAATGGCTTCTTTCCATAGAAACCTTGTTTCATCAATTAAAGGGCTATCTAGGTAACTATTACCATTAGCTTTGTCTTTCTAACTACGTTAAAAGTCTCTTAAGTCATCTATCTCAGACTGTATTATCAGAACAGGTGCTCAATAAATAAATTTGGTTAATCACTTAGTGCAATCATACAATAATGAATTGCTACAATTCCTAAAAGGCTTGAACCCCTCTCTGTTAATTGTCTTTATTGAGGGCAACGTTATCGTTTTTTATAACAAAGCCAAGGCTGGGGGAAATTTATTGGGTTATTTTTTTATTCTATTCCATTTAAGAATAGTGCCACCATGTGTCAACTCTAAAGATGGTATTCTTAATAAAACGTGAATAATGAAAAAAATTCATCACTTTGGCACACACACAAAAACCAAGTAAAAGAACAGAAGTTCAACGCTGATTTAATACTAGACCATCTTCTAGTTGTTTGAGGCAACGTTGGGATATAAATAAATTTAGTTTAATACCTTCAAATTTTCTAAAGAAAACAAATCAAGTTATTTTCAACTTAAAGATGCAAAGGAGGCCCTCCCTGGTGGCGCAGCGGGTTAAAGCCCAGCACTGAGAAGCTAAAGCTACTTCCTCATGAGTTCGATTCCCATTCCCGCCTGCCCCGGAGGTGACCACATGGCGTGGCAGATCTCTCCTGACCCGCCCGCTGCCCACCTCAGCAGTGTACTTCGTAGATCTGCCTGTTCTGCTCCTCACTCTGTCTCTGGTGAAGCCTCTCACCACCCGCACCTCTGTCCTGTACCCCAGTTCTGTATACATAGATATGTTACAAAAAGATGCAAAGGAAAGAATGAGCCAACGTCCCTTATTTTTTTACATCCCTCCCTCCCCTAGCCAGTGTTCCTTTTTATAATAAATTCATGTAATAGCCTCATACATGGTGATATTCAAGAAAGATTACAGTTACTCAAAACTTTACAGAAGTAGTGATAAAAAGTAATTTGGTAGGGTTTGAATTTCAGGTGACTTAGAAAAAAAGAATAACCTGAACAACTCTTGAAATAATTTCTACAATCTTATAGTCTGTATATTATCACATAATTAACACCCTGGCATTGTAATTGTATGTAGATACAAGGGTATCCTAAGGGTATCCTTATCTCTAAGGGTAAAGCTGAGCTAATAGCATTCTGCTGCTCTACCCAATGCCTCTCTCCACCCCCTTGCCCCAAGCTCCTGCTTCAATTCTAAAGCACTTCCATTTTGGTGTTTTGTTTATACTGGATTTCCTCCCAAGATTTTATATGAAAAAAGTGTTCCATTGCTTTAAAAAAAATCACAAATGTTATGTAGCATATAAGAAGAGGATTATTCTAAGGATAAATAAATAAGATAGTAGAAAAAAAAGACACTCAAAGGTAACATAGTTTATGGTAAAGACACCTAGTCATAAACCCAGTACCCCCCAGTTCCATAGTTTAGAGTTGTGGGTGGTGCTCTCTAGAAACTAGATTTCCTACCATCCTACCTTTTATCTAGATGGGACTTCATTCTTGCCAATGATAAGGCAAAATATTGTATGTCATTTCTGGGTAAAAAGCAGGTATACCATCTTTTTGTCCAACTGTTAAGAAGCTGCATAGCAAGGGTTAGTAAAGCACAAAGCTAGCAGGATTCATGCTTCTATAAAGAACTTACATTAATATAGAGATCATTCATCTTTTAAGATTTATTTATGCATCCAGAACTGGGGTACAGGCCAGAGGTGCAGGGGCAATGAGAGGATTGGGAGTGGGGAGCAGAATAGGCTGATTGACGGAGTATACTGTTGATGGGAGCTGTGGGCAGGTAAGGAGTGGTCTGCCGCGCCATGTGGGTCACCTCTGGAGGACTGGGGATCAAACTCGCAATGAAGCAGTGGTGGCTCACTTGCAGTGCTTCCCTTTAACCTGTTGCACCACAAGGGAGGGTCCGATCATTCATTTTAAAGTATTTCCTATGGAGCTATACCTGCTGAAGTAGAGTTAAACAGATGAAATAAAGATCCTATGGTTACAGAGCCTTAAACATTTACTACCTGAGCCCTTTACAGAAAATGTTTATTGACTTCTATTCTACAGGAATAATTCTACAGGATGAATGCACTGGGTGCCTAAATCACTACATGGAAGAAAGCTGCCCACTGACTTAACGGCATTGTATGGTTACAGTGTCATGTGCACAAGTCTTCTTGTATTAATTAGTCACTGACAGTTTTAGTTACAGAAACTTGCTATATACTATTGAAGAAACACACTATTATCAGAAGTTGATTCCAAAATTAACATTAAAAACTTCTCAGATGTATCTGGCAGATGAATGGTAATTGAAATGGATAGCACAGCTCAGGGTCTTGCTCAGAAATATTGGAGGGAAATTTCAAATCTTAAAGCAAACAAAAATAAAGCATTAAGAACATTTAAATTAGTTACTTAGGCAAATAATATGTTCAGAACATAAGGTCAAGAAAAATATTTGTTGAGGTTTAGAAAGAAGCTTCTGCAAGAAGGAAGCCATGTGTAAAGTACACTTCAAGGGCATGTGAGAGAGTGGATTAAAGAGGTTAAAGATGGAGAGATATAAAAGCACTGATCACATCTCTACCATAAAAGGCACAATACTCACCTTTACTACGTGGGGTGCATGGTTTTATTTTCCCCTCTTCCTTCTCCATAATGCTACTCTCTTTCGTTATTACTGTTTTGTGCTGATGACCACATGGTAAATGAAATTCACAATCCATTAATATGTTGCTACCTGGGTTTTAAAAAACCTGACCTTTTAGGGGCATTATGCAATCTGCGCTAGGACTTAAGCAGGTGGTTTTCCATTCATCTAGTTTGTTGTTGTTGTTGTTAAGATTTATTTATTTATGCATACAGAACTGGGGTACAGGCCAGAGGTTCAGGGGCAGTGAGAGGATTCACCAGACACAGAGCGGAGAGCAGAACCGGCAGATCGACAAAGTGCATTGCTGAGGGGAGCAGCGCGCGGGTCAGAAGAGAGCTGCCACGCC